CTTAGTTTGATAGCATCCTGTCTGGCAAGAACTCACTTATCAATAGCTGGGATGTGAAATCCTCACTTCTGTATTGTTTTGTCATTATAGTTCCCACTTTGCTATTGTTTGTCTCTGTCTGGTTCTGTGATTGTTCCTGTCTGCTGCATAATTAATTTTGCTGGGTGTAAACTAATTAAGGAAGTGGGATATAATTGGGTACATAATCATGTTACAATATGTTCGGATTGGTTAGTTAAATTTCAAGAATATGATTGGTTAAGTTATAGCAAAGCAGAACTCAAGTTTTACTATATAGTCAGCAGATAATCAGGGAAGAACGGGGGTGGGGGCGGGCATGCGGGTGGGGGAAATGGGAACAGGGAATGGGGGTGGGGAAATTGGAATCATGTTTTGCTAAAAGGGGAAATGGGAACAGGGAATGGGGGTGGGGAAATTGGAATCATGTTTTGCTAAAGGGGGAGATGGGAACAGGGAATGGGAGTAAGGAAGTTGGAATCATGTTTGGCTAAGGGTAGGAATGGGAACAGGGACACAGGTGTAAGGCTCTGTGGGTGTCAGAGCGGGGAAGGGGGACACTAAGGAAGGAAACTGGAATCATGCTTGCTGGAAGTTCACCCCAATAAACATCGAATTGTTTGCGCCTTTGGACTTCGGGTATTGTTGCTCCCTGTTCCTGCGAGAAGGAGCAGGGAAGTGAGTGGGCGAAGGACTAAGCCCCCTCACAGTGCTCACCCAGAGCACAGATGTACGCGAATTCCTGGGTAAAGCTGGTGTGGTGGGACTCTGCTCTGTGGCAGAACAAGGCGGCACAGGGCGCCTGCCAGGCAGATCTCGCACTAAAGGAAAGGGAATGAGGTAAAAGCCTCTACAATGCAGCATGCACGAACTGGATGTTTTCTATTTACGTGAGTTCAACTAACTGCTCTCTTGGCCTGACAGAAAAATCTATTTCCAGGCGTCACCCTTCTGCCCGTCAGAGTCGGCAGCAACGAGGGCCGGGTTCGGTATCTAGGGGATCCATTCCAACAACACAATGCAAACCGGCTCGAGCCCCCACCCAGTGACCTGGGACAAATATATACCACCCCCGCTGGGCGCCTCCAAGAGGCAATACTTCCCCTCTCGCAAGCACAGAGTCTGAGGGTAGCAAAAGCCTTTTAATAACAGAGAGAAACAATGTGGCATTATGTTGGGGAAACACCACCAACAGGATTCATAACACAACCCATGAGCAAAAATCCACCCCAAGCAAATTGGGGCATGTCCTTTCCCTTTGGTTCTTGAGTCCAGCAACCCCAAATCACCCAAAGTCCCAAAAGTCCAACAACCCAAAAGTCTCTGTCCCTGGTCAGGGCAGCACCAGAGTTCAAAAGTTTATCTGCAGAGTTTTACCTCCCAACCTTGGTAGAGATGGGGCGGGGGAGGGATTAAGGGACACCTTACATGGTCCAAAGCTGATTGCCCCACCTCTCCATGGGGCTCCACTCTGCTCCACCAGCCGTCCCACAAACCGCTCTGCTCCAAAAGCCACTCTGCTCTGCTCGCCATCCCACAAACTGCTCCACCATATATCTTCAGGCTCCCCCACTACTTAACACAACGCTCAGTGATTTCAGCTCTTAGCAAGTTTAGCTCTTTTGTGATTTCAGCTTGTAGTAGGGGAGCCTCAGTGCTGGTCCACCATTGGCCCAAAGTGAATTCAGCTCAGCAGCCTGTAACTAGACTCCTAATGGAATCAAAATTAGCTCTGATATTCCACAGTGGAGAGAGGAGGAAGTACAATTAGCATGTAAGGCCCTCACCAGGGGCTCATACCACCAGGTATTAATACCTGTTCCCAGCCTCTCTCAATTCACTGAGTTTTGGAACCCATGTCCCTTGCCTACCGAGTGCTACTTAGTTGGTGGCGAGTCCCTCCATCATAACAAAAGGCCAAGTACAGTTCCACTGTCCTTGATTCACATAATTAGGATAATAACAATTTATTCTTCCTGCCGCAATAACAGAGAAACTGGGGATCCCACAGCAGCCAAAGTGACCATTTGGGCAGCTATGGGCTCATGCTAGGCGGGGTAGGTGTGCCTATGCAAATGAGTTCAGCCTCGGAAGTTCTTTTCCACAACTTGCCACAACTCGCCACCAGATGTCAGGGTGGAGCTCATCCTGACTCTGCTTGCACATGTGTTTTGAAAACTGCTGAAGCTATTTCATAAGAAAGTTCACTTCTGTACATTTACCTTCTGTTAAGCCATGGGGAATTTATGCAAACACAAGGTCAGTGCAATCATGCAGTGTTTAAGTTCTCTCGTTTCAAGCTACGGGAAACATGGAATGTCCCAGTACTATTTCTTACACCCTCAAGAGAAGTTTGCAGGAAGTCAAATTAGACCTACCCTCCTTGTAATTTCAGAGACAGTTCCATTTTTGGCATGGCGATTCTGAGCATTACAGGAAGCGTAAATAGCAACTGAAAACTAAACTCAGGAATTACTGAAAATAAAATACAGGTGTTGTGCAACCATCAGAAAAGTCCAACTTGAGGCTAGACAGACAACTGCAAATAAAAGGCTTTATGCATAAGATTTTGAACAGCTAGAAAGTCAAGCCACAAAATCCACGCACAAACGATATAGCGATTTAATTGACGGCTGACAGGACACATACACCTTAGAAACCTGCGCACTTGGTCAGTGCATTTAGAAATTAAAACACTATCTGACGCCGTGGTTCAGTCAAGTAAAGAAGTCACATAAATATCCCTATTTTTAACTTTACAGGCCAGTAAACCAACCACTAATCAAACTCTGAAGTTAAGTAACCAGCAAGGCCTCATATCTGCATTGTTTGTTTCTGAGAACTATTAGTACAATGGCATTTTTAAAAGAAAATCAGACAAAAAGAGCCCTGAGAAATGACTGCAGACATCTTTCCTTGGTGCAAGGAGGTAAACGCGAACCCCTTGGAGCACTCAAGGAATTCTGAGCTTCAATACCAAGCCTCAGAAAAACAGAGCCAAACTTCCTGTCAGCCACAGAAAAGGACATAGGTGGCTTTTACCGCTACAGGATGCTACCAGGGGTTATGCTTAGGGCTAATCTACATAAGAACTGCTGCAGCAGCTCAAGCCACCTCCACGAGAGGCGCTATGTCAGAGGGTGAGCGGACCATGCCGGTGCTTAGGTCAGTGTAACGTAGGTGGTTTAGTCACCCCCGAGCGACATAACTTTATAGCAACATCAGTGATACACAATACAAGCCCTCAGGAAGCCAATATTTTACCATAGGGCAGAATAATTTCCTCACCTCCCCGCCCACACTACAGTAGTCAAGTCAATAGTACAGCAGTAACACTCAGCTGTTACACAGCACTGCTCACCCGTAGATCTCAAAGCACTTGAAAAGAGAGGGTGTCATTTCCTTTGTTTTACTGATAGGAAACCGGGGCACAGAAAGCTGGAACAACCTGCTCAAAGGCACATAGTGAGGCAGGGGCACAGCTGGGAATAGAACCCACGCGTCAAAGCACCTAGTCCAGTGTCCCATCCAACAGATCACCCTTCCTCCCAGGAACAGATCAGTCTGGGCCTGTGCTCCCAGCTTATGGAAGCAAATGTACTGACGTTAACGTGAGACTGTCTTGTGAAGGAAATGATATGGCCAAAGCTAAATAAAGAATAGCACCAAAAATGCCCCAAGCAACCCATTGGAGAGTCGATCTAAGCAATTTCCTGGCAAATCCTTCCTGTTGGGGTGCATATTGAAATAACGCTGTACCCCACTGCAGTTTGCTTTGCCTATAGTATTCAAGGGTTGGTCTAGTGTTCACTGTGGGGGTGGCATATTTTTATCCTAAGTTTAAGGGTGTTTTTAGAGGAGTTACTGGTTCTGACTGCAGCTGTCAGGGCACGCAGAAGGGAAGCAGACTGATAACCGGGATCCAAAGGGAAGCCTGGCTAGGGATGTTCACGGACTGACTACAGACATGCATGGAGACATGCACCAATGCTGTACTCCACCATGAAATGACAGAGGCTCCCACCTTGAAATGTTTGGACACCCCCTTCAGTGTCGGTGCATGTTTTACACCACTTGGGAAGAAGTTCAGTACGTTAGGAGGAGCCTCGGCTGGGGAGAAGTGACAATGGGGTAACAGACCCCGATTAGGATGCAGTGTTGAGAGGGTCACACTGACGCCATCACACACTGGCGAAGGGATGGAAAGCAGCCCAGCCATTACCCCGAGATGTCACTCCAGAGCCCCGTCGCTGCACCCAGAGCACAGAACTATCATTTTGTGTATGACAGTCAGAAATCATTGATCTACTATTTTTGTGGCACATAAAACTGCAGATTTTTAACATCCACTGGGCCAAATCTATGACCTTACTCATGTGAGTAATCCCAGGATGTGGCCCAATGTGTGTTTTGTTACAGTCAGTCCTTGGAAAGCAGCTACACTTCTTCCTACACGGGTCCCAATCTTGCGAGATGCAGGGTGCCCTCAAGCCCTATTGAAATCAACGCTCATTCAAGGCACTCAGCACTTCTTAAGATCTGACTCTGATTTAGAGCCTCTTTTGTTTTGCCATGAGAAGAGTGAGCTGGATCTGTTGGCGAGGAACTGGGGTTATTTTCTAGCTACTTCTTTCTATTCTGGGTTTTACCAAAACGATTTACAGCATATCCTCTGAGAAGGAAAAATATTCTCCATCCATGCACTTCCTTATAGCTGGCCTTGGTAAAAGAGATCATCACTTAAAGGTTTTTGGCAATCGCTCCTATCCTGACAGCATGGGGCCAAATACAGTTTCCAAAGGAGCACCCATTCCCCCAATAAAAGTGAGCACAGGAAAGCCCATTATTTACTCTACATTTATACTCCTCTGGTTCTTCACTCAATGGGTGCAAACTGTGTGCAACCATTCACTGCGGCCACTGATACTCATCCGCTGTCTACTCTGTTCAGTTGAACGGGGGAGAAAATGTAAGTCACTTACCGTATAGAATTGTAATGAGGGAAACGGGCATGACTAGGATCGCAACCAACATATCTGCCACCGCCAAGGACATTAGGAAGTAGTTTGTGGCATTCTGTAGCTTTTTCTCCAAGGAGACAGCCATAATTACAAGGATGTTCCCTCCAATAGTCAGCAGAATGATAACCAAAATCAGGAGGGCTGGCCAGTTCTTCTCCCTCATGGACACACGAGAGACTTCTCCCCGCTCAGAGGCATTAAGAGGGTCGGACGTGGGCAAACTCTGATTCAGAGTCAAATTGTTGCTTAAGGGCCAAGCCATCAGACCACCGTGCAAACGAAAATCTAGCGTCACAGACACCGTCGTTAAGCTGACTAATATCCCAGTGCCACTTACAGTGCTCATTCTCTGGAGCTGATTTTCCTCTTTAATTGTTCCTCAACGTTAATTTCTTTTTCAAATGGAGGGTCCAAGGCAGCAGCCGAATTTCACAAAACCAGCGCCAGAAAATTGTTTGATCTTCCATAATGAACTAAACCTTACAGAAGTTAGAGTGGAGCTCTTCTGGTTTTCCTCTGAGATGGGGTTAGATGACCACTGATTGGCAACCCAGAGGGACAGGAGATTTCATCATGTTCAACTCATTTTCATGTCCAGCATTCTGCAAAGAAAAGAAAAAGGCACCTTCTTTTTCACTGAAATCACAGTACACGCAAAATGCTCTACATCCCCATGCAAACGGCATTCTCCTCCTCTCTCCTCCTGCTGGCTAGAATGTTCTCCAGACTGCAAGTAATTTATCTTATGGGGACAGACCATGCCTACAATTATGTAGGGGAAAAATCACAACAGTGTGTTCTGGCTGGTTAAAAGCTGATTATCGCTAATTAAATGTTTTGTGAAACCAGCAAAAGCAAGTCCGAAGAGTGAGACATGTTTCAGTTGATAGCCACTTCACAGATCTTCAGTCTCATATACAGTAGCAATTGTACGATGCTAGAAACTCCAACAAATGGTGATAGCATGGCGAAAGCGCAATATAAACTGTAATCTTCAATGGAAGTATTTGCATATAGCTTGTACACTCAGAGATGAAGCACAGGTGTCATTAAAAACACTGTCAAGTATCAGGGGGTAGCCGTGTTAGTCTGCAGCCACAAAAACAATGAGGAGTCCGGTGGCACCTTAAAGACTAACAGATTTATTTGGGCATAAGGTTTTGTGGGTAAAAACCCCACTTTGCTGAAGAAGTGGCATTTTTACCCACAAAAGCTTATGCCCAAATAAATCTGTTAGTCTTTAAGGTGCCAAGGACTCCTCGTTGTTTTTATTAAAAACACTATGACCAAAATGATTAATCCTGCCACAATAAAGGAGACTATATTTTGTGTTTGTTTTGACAAATGCATGGTAAATCAAACCTGACATATATTCTTATCTGACTCCATTGCTGCCAATCTTTCCAAAATAAACAAACAATTAAAAACCAACGGGGGAAGAAAGACAAACCTTTGCTAATCTAGACCAGTATTTTTACACTTGTCTTCATCCCTCCGAGTGCTTTTGTGTGCAGAAGGCAAGCACACAATGAATTCAGTGGCCCAAATCCTGTTCGCCTTACAGATGCTAGCTGACCCATCTCCCTGAGATGTCAGGGCTGCTCAGCCGCTTTGCCAGGCATATTTGTTTTCAATTTAAAGTTCCTAAAAATCTGTTTTTTCAATTGACAAATTCTTTTTTCATAAATCGTTTAAGGCCAGAGGCGGCCATTGGATCAGCTACTCTGACCTCCTGTATAACACAGGCCAGATAGTTTCACCCAGGAACTCCCGCATTGATCCCAATAACGTTTTTCTTAGGCCCCAGTTCAGCAAGGCACTTAGCATGCTTCCCATGCTTAGCTGAATTGACTTAGCCTTAGTGACTCAATTGTTTTGACCTCTGATCCCGCACCAATGAAAACAATGGCAATTTTGCCATCCACTGTGCAGGAGCCAGGCCCCTAATGAAATGCAAAATTTCACCATCAGCAATGGGAAGAAACTATGAAAGAGGAGTACTAAGCATCTTAAAAAGGAAATATGCTGTTTTTAGAACATTTCTCAGCTTCTTGTCATAACCTACAACACGCAAGTGATATTATATCATCATTTTAAAAATATGGACAGAAAAGACTCTAATATACTGTTTGTATGTGATCCATCACTTTGCTATCCAAGGATCAAAAAGCTAAATGTAATTTACAGGACTAAATTAAACGTTATGTAAAAAAGATGTGCTCAGAGTCTTACAATAAAATGTTTAGCACTCGCATTGGCTTGGGTTGCTTACTAATGGGTCTCATATGGAAAAACATTTCTTAAATGAGCAGAGTGTACAATGAACCCAGGTTTGCTTCTGAACTAGAGCTAATAACTTCCAAAGAGCTGCAGACCTCATAGTTGGGGAGAAGTCTGTGTAATTTGCACAGAAAACAGTAGTGGCAAATCACCGGTAACCACTTCTTTACTCAACTGTAGTGCTCTTAAAAAAAAATCCCAGTGACTTGCCGGTAAATTGCAAAATACTTCCAGGATATTTTTATATAACACAACACTCACATTAAAATGATAAATGAAAACAGAGTTGACTACAAACTGCTTTCTTTCCGCTAATGACATGCCACTCGGGCTGTCTTAAAGCAGGGCATGAAGTTTTGCTCTTTGACCCCCACATTAAAGTTAACAGGAATCTCCTGATGATCAGAAATTTAGGGGCCTTTCATCAGGTACATATGCACAGCACTGAAACCAGTGGGAACTGTGCGCATGGGACTGATGGCAAGATGGGACTCCTGATGTAACAAATGCTGATACATTATGTGCTACAAACTATCAACACTCCTAAATTAAACTTGCTCAACATGTTCAACAAAGAATTTTTTCCCAATTATTCTAGTAAATTTTAAAAAAACAATAACCCCCCTGGAAAGTAGACTGGTGACTCCACCAAGCTCTCTGGCAGGGATCGACAACTTTTGGCCTGTGGCCCGCCAGGATAAGCCCCCTGGTGGGCTGGGCTGGTTTCTTTACCTGCCACACCCGCATGTTTGGCTGGCCGTGCTTTGCCGCTCCAGGACAATGGGGACTGCGGGAAGTGGTGCGGGTCAAGGGATGTGCTGGCCGCCGCTTCCCACATGCCAAAGGTTGCCGATCCCTGCTCTATGGGGTTCTTTGCAGTGTTAATGAGATATTCAGAATGTCACAGAAATCTACCAACAGCACAAAACCCCAGGAACACTGATAGGTCTGACTGGAACATTAGAACCCAGATGTCCAGAACAACAACAAGAGGGTCAAAGAGCCTGGGTTTTACAGGAGGTAACCATTTCTTGTACTAGAGATTGTACCAGTCCCATTGATGATTTGGAGCTCAATCCTGCAAGGTGCTGAGCACTCCGATCCTAGTCCTGGAAAGTGCTAATGTAGGTACCTCGTTTTAAGCACTTAGGACCCAATCCAACTCCCAATGAAATAAAAGTGTCTCTTTCCACTGACTTTAATGGGAGCTGGACTGGCTGTGTAAGGATTTAGGACTTGCAGGATTAAGCCCTCTATACTTTCTCATGAATTTGATTGGAGGCCATGTAATAGACAGCAGGATTATTCACTGTTGTGCCCTCAGTAACAACTCAACTTTCAAACAAGCACCTCCAGGGTTTCCCCAAAACCACCTCTGTTAGTTCTTTGGGCATTGTCTAGAACAGCGATACTCAGACCTCAGGCCTTCAGGAGCCAAATTAGTGATCAACAGTCCCCACAAGAGCCACAGTGGTGCGAATCATTGTCTCATTTACTCTCTCTATATATTATTCTCTCAGCAAAATGACGGACCAAGTGTTCTACAATTCGTTAATAACATAATAAAAGCAACCTGACTGGTTAATAACTTAGATTGGTTAATGAAATCACACAGTCTTAATAGCATGTGCCGCAAAGAGCCGCAGGAGACACATGAAACAGCTGCTTGCAGCTCCCAAGCCTCAGTCTGACTGGTCTAGAATAATGGGGCCCTAATCCCTGCCTGTGTTCTCCGAGGCTGCTGCAAGAGAAATAAGGACACCTGTAGGTTCTAAACATGCGAGTCACATGAGCCTTCAATAACACTACGCATGCTAGTAAAGCAAGCAGGAATTGCCCCTAATTTCAATCTGATAGTAAGTGGGCCACGTTTATTGCTGCTACAATTTGTGACATGATCAGATTAAAGTTCAATAAATCACTCCACTGAGAGAGCAAAGAAACACACTGGAAAACAATTAGAAAGAAAGAAATGCAGCAGGTTAAACAGAGACGTACAACCAACGTGATATGATGAAGAAGACACATGCAAATGTTCTCATGACATCCGGGGCACATGATATCAAGAAGGCTCAGTTACAAAATGAGGTCTCACTCTGGACGATATCAGAATAATAAGCAAAAGGCAACATTTTAAAAGGGAAGCAACCAAAACAATGTCATACTGGAAATGAATCACTTGGGTGGAAATGATGTCAGAAGCTGAATTAAAATTTCCCAGGGAGGAGAAGTCTTAAAGAGAAGTTAAAAATGAGAAGCAAAGAACCTGAAACTCAGTATTATTTTTCCCAATTTCATGAAAGCTCCCATCACATTAAATATCTTGGGCTCTAACATAATCCCAGCCCAATGGCCCAGGGATACCAGCCATTCTTACATGCCACAACAGGAGTTATCAACTGAGGAAGATTTCACGAAAAGAGGAAGATAAATCAATCTTTACAGACTGAAGGAGAAAATCTTCCAACAGGCCTTGAATACAAAGGAATTCAGGCAGACATCCTCCAGCAGGGAACTCTACCATGGGTTTCCTGAAGCAAAAGGTCTCATCCCAAAATCAATTAGGACAGCAAGTTGGGATGGACACAAAGGGCAACTTGCTAGGTCCTATGTCCAACCCCATGTCCAGAAGACAATTCTTTCATGACTAAGATTACACCACAGTGAGGAGGCTGTAATAGGCACACTGAGGTGACACTGGAGTAGACAAAAAGAAAAAAATCACTCACTCACTCCTCACTTTCAGGATTCAAAATGAAGCCTCCGTTCTCCAGATACTAATGGGCTGTGAAACCTTGAGTGCCCAGAGCCATGTTTGATTCCCCACCACTGGAATTAAATAAAATGATTACAAATAGGAGAAAACCATTTAGCGGGAAGACCCGAGGAAAGCAGACTTCCCTACTCGCCGCCTTGCTGTAAATGAGCTGATTGCACACACAGAGATAGAGCCTTTTTGAGCCACTTTGTATGCAAAACGTGTTTTCCAGATCTGGTGGAAATATATTCTAATTTCCTATAAAGAAAAATAATTGAACACTAAAATCCAGCTCGTCGTCTCACCATTCTGCTTCTCTGTCTGTGTCAGCAGTTAGAACTGTACACATCATTATAGTGATAGAACAATTTGACTATGAAATTCAGGAACTGAATTAAGGTTGGATTTAGGGCTGGAAGGGTAAACAATTAACCCCATTCTCCAATTTCCAGTTTTGCTTAGAAACATGGAATTGTTTCTTTTAAACTTGGCCCATTAGCCTGGCTATTATTAACAGGGACAAGGGAGAAGAAGCCATTAGTACTATAGCACAGAGGTTCTAGC